TATATATATATATATATATATATATATATATATATATATATATATATATATATATATATGCGTGTGTGTGCGTGTGTGTATATAGGTTACAGCTGCAGCCAACAGAGGAACTCTGTGCAGTTGCCGTTGTGCTGTGCGCTGAATATGTGCAGCAGCTGACCCCCTTTTGTATTTTTTTTTTCACAACAACATTTTCGGTTTACTAGTAGTGGGGCGATTGCATGTTTAAGAATTAAATGAATTTTGATTTGTATTCTGAACGAAGAATTAATTTAATATTTTTATTTATATTTATTTATTTATTTTTATTTATTTATTTATTTATTTGTATGAATTTATAGTAAACTTCTGTTATTACAACGAGAGGAAATGCAGGGCTCTCGTCATCGCTTCCCGCGAGATACTGCAAATATAAACTTAAATACTGAAACATTTACACCTGCGTGTACACCCCAATATACTCTGTTCACATACTAACGCTCATTTAGGGCAGCGATCGTTCGGTTTAGGGTTTAGGGTTTACTGATAAAGACCCTATAGAGAGTTTAGGGTTTAGGGTTTAGGGTTTTTAGGGTTACGCTTGCACGCCTGCAAAGAAACGATATACACTGCAATAAAGCTACGCCGTTCTTCTTTTTCTAATTGAAACATTTCTTCTATACCCTTATACACGGTGTATGTGTACGTGTGCGTTTTGCGTTTATGGATTTTTTTGTTGTTTCTTTTACTTATTTGGTTCTTAGTAATTGTTTGTTTCTCTTTTTTATTCGTTTTGTTTTCTCTTCAATTGCCTCCCCTTTCTCTGCTGCATTTACTTGCCTATTCTGGCGGGTGTGGTGTTCGTGGTTTCCACTTTTGTTGTTTCTTTCTTTGTTGTTTAAAACCAAATATGCATCGTGCTGTATATTATTATTATATTACAACATAATATAAATACATGCATATTATATATTCAGGGTACGAAGAGTAATAATATGTGTGCTTTAACTTTTTATTTTTTCGCTCAGAATAAAGTAGAGATGAAACGCATTTGACGAATATTCA